CATCTGGACAACCTCAATACAGATGGTGGGCTCCCAGTGGCACTGACCCAGGCTGTCAAGATGTCATCAATAAGACATGTAACCCCCTGGTAAGGAGGCTCCAGGACAAGAAGGATATTTGGGGGAAGAAACCGAGAGGATATGATGGGGATCCTATTGTGTTCCATAGGGTGGGTGACCTTACAATTAGTGAGGAAATAAAATGGAGGAGGGGGTCTAACATAGATCTCAAATCTGGGGACAGAAGAGAAAGAATGAGATTATTTCTGTCTTCTCATTTTCTACCGCCTAGCACACAGACTGATTAATGGCCCTTCCCTATGCTTCCTTCTCCCTTTCAGGACAATTTCTCCATCACCAACTGCCCAGGTCTAACTTGCCAGTTCCTAGGTTACTCCTCTTCAGGGCCAGCCCAGCGTTCACTATTTAATCTGCAGATCTATGGGATCCTAGGACTGTTTTGGACACTCAACTGGGTGCTGGCCTTAGGGCAGTGTGTCCTGGCTGGGGCCTTTGCTTCCTTCTACTGGGCCTTCAACAAGCCCCAGGATATCCCTTCTTGTCCCCTGACTGCTGCTTTCTTCAGGACTCTGCGGTCAGTGTAGTTCGGGGAGAGGATGCTTGGGACTTTCAGAAAAGTCAGGAGATTGAAACCTGGGCTTCTAAGAGGAGAGACTTGGGGACTGGACTAAGGAGGGGTTCCTTAGTCTCTGAGGGGAGGACAGAGAAGGTCTAGATTTTCAAGTAAGGCTAGCCCCTAACAGCTGGTCTCATCTCTTCAGTTACCACACAGGGTCCCTGGCCTTTGGAGCCTTGATCTTGACTCTGGTCCAGATAGTGAGGGTTGTCTTGGAGTACCTCGATCACAAACTAAGAGGTAGGACCAGAGAGGTTAGGTACCTGAGTTTGGGTAGGGGAGAACAAGAGGCTGGGTCTGACACTTCAGTTCTGTGGGGAGGGGAGGGTTGGCAGCTTAGGGGTCTTAGGTGGTTGATGAAAACAGCTAAGACCAGTTACTTAGATCTTCCTCTCCTCTCCTGTCCTCTCCACCCCACCCCACTCCCACCTCTAGGAGCCCAGAACTCCCTGATCCGATGTCTTATGTGTTGTCTCAAATGCTGCTTCTGGTGTCTGGAGAAATTCATCAAATTCCTGAACCGAAATGCATACATCATGGTGAGGTCTTTGGGATTATGTCTAAAAATATCCCCTCCCTCCCAACCTCCAATAAACCACTTCGAGAACCTTCACAGTGTCTCTCTCCACCCTCATCCCTATCTCCACCCCATCAGCAAACAGTGTAACTACAGGGAAACAAGGGAAAATGTGTTAGCAATCTTCCTTTCTGGTTTCTCTTCTCCTAGATTGCTGTCTATGGGAAGAATTTCTGCATCTCTGCTAAGAATGCCTTCATGCTGCTCATGAGGAACATTGTCAGGTCAGAGTGTCAAATCCTCAGCCTCATTTCTTCAAATCTCCTAAGATCCAACCCCTGCCTCCCTACCTTAAGGAAACTCCTACCCATAAAGGTCCATCATCCTGCTTTCCCCCAAATCCCTAATCATCCCATCTCTGCAGTTGCTCTGTTTTTAACCTTCCTTGACTTCTTCCCTGGGTATCTGGCCACATCTGGACAACCTCAGTACGGATGGTGGGCTCCCCCTGGCAGTGACCCCAGAGATAACTTCCCAAATTCTGCCAACAGGGTGGTCGTCCTAGATAAAGTGACAGACTTGCTGCTTTTCTTTGGCAAATTGCTTGTGGTTTCGGGAGTTGGTGAGTAGGGGCACAGAATTTAGAGACAGAAGACAATAGACAGATTACCTAGTCCAACCCCTTCCTTCCCCCTCATTTTTACAGAGAAGGAAACCAAGGCCCAGAGATGGAATATGATTTCACAGAATCCACAGTTTAGAGCTAAAGGGGACCTTAGAGGTTTAATCTAACCCCTTACTTTACAGATTAAGAAATTAAGGTCCAGCAAGGTTAATTACCTTATGCAAGGTCACATAGGTAAGAAGTAGAGGCAGTAGGAAAAACCTGATTCCAAAGCCAATCATTTTGTCACATCACCACAATGAAGTCTGGAGGAGCCCAGGTAAATATGATTCTCTGAGGAGAATGTATGCCAGTGTGTGGAGGAGGGAAGAAAAACCAAGAATTAGAAGAGATGAGTATAATTTTGGGGGAGAATTAGAGAGCTGCTCCACTCCCACTTCATGCCTTCTTCTTCTTATCCCCAGGCATCCTCTCTTTCTTTTTCTTCACTGGCCGAATCCCAGCCCTGAAGGAGGAATTTCGTTCCCCTGACCTCAATTACTACTGGCTCCCCATCATGGTGAGTGACTTGCCTCCATCCCTACTTCCTGGGACCTAAGTGTTCCCCTCACCTGAATTCTCCCTCCTCCAAGAGCCCTCACTCTTCTGAGTTCCTGTCATCATCCTCTGTATTCCAGGTCTCCATCCTTGGTGCTTATGTCATTGCTTCTGGCTTCTTCAGTGTCTTCAGCATGTGTGTAGATACTCTGTTCCTCTGTTTCTGTGAGTATTTCCTCCTCCTGGAAACATGCCCCTCCCTGTGAAATTCCCCACACATTCACCTGTACCTTCGACAAACTAGCATATCAACCCTTGCTGTATCTCCCAAGAAGAGGTCTGGAAGTGGAAGGATCTTGACAAAAGTAATGGACACAAGCCAAAAGGCATAATGGGTTAAGAGCTGGGGGATCCTGGCCTGAATCCCAAACCAATTCAACAAATATTTATTAAGCACTATGTGGAAGACACTGTGCAAAAGTGAGAAAATCTCTGACCTCCAGGAACTTATATTCTACTGGAGGGGATGCAACACATAGGTAAGAGCAAGTGAGTGACTTGGTCAGACCTGTGCCTTATGAAAATTATTTTGACAGTTGTACAAGGATTGATTGGAAAGGAAAGAGACAAGCCAAGAAGAACTATTAAGAAGCTATTACAATAGTTTACGTGAGAGGTGATGAGAGTCTAAATTAGGATGGCAAGAATTTAACAACTGTTCAGATGTGGAAGGTGGCAAAAGAAAAGTCAAAGAGAATCTTGAGGTGACTGGGAGGATGGTGATGCCATCAGTAGAAATAGGGAAGAGAGGAGTTTTGGGACTTCCCTTTTGGACATTGTTCAATCTAAGATAACCATGCGACCTTTGGAGATGTCTAGCAGGCAACTGGCAACATGGAAATGAAGTTCAGTACAGAAGTTAGGGTTGGACATACAGATTTTTGCCAGTGAATGACATCACTAAGGACGGCATGGTGGAAGAGAAAAGAAAAGAAAACGATCTTGAATAGGGTCTTCAAGGACACACAGAGGAAGGAGAGTAGTAGGTGAGGGGAGATTAACGATCCAGCAAAAGAGACGAAGAAAGAGTCATAGATTTAAAGGCAATTCTCAAGAGGAAGACTCTGAGAAAACAGACTTTAAATTCAGTTCTACCAAATTTATTAAGTTACTGCTGTGGAGAGAACACTGGGAGAGATGCTGGGAGGTACAAAGTTTAGACAGAACATTTTCCTGTCCTGATGGTGCCTCATTTTCTTTTTTTTGAGCCTCATTTTCTAAGAGGGGTATGGGAATATGGTATACAAATCATATAAAATCCAAAAAGTAAACATTACATATGTAAAATATACATAGAAATTAACCTTAGAAAAGATAGCAGTAACTGCTTACAGTTTGTGGTACTTTATAGTAAGACTCTTCTCATAACAGTGGAAGCATTATTTATCCCCATTTTACAGATAATAGCAACAATTATAGTTGCATTTATATAGCATTTTAAGGTTTGCAAAGTGCTTTATAAATATCTCATTTTATCATCTCAACAACTTAGAAAGGTTTATCCCATTTTACATTTGAGGAATCAGAGGCACCCAAAGGCTTAAATGACTTGCTCAGGGTCACACAGTTATTAAATGTGTAAGGCCAGATTGGAGCTCAAGTCATCATAACTCCAGGTCTAATGCTCTACTCTTTAAAAGGTACCACCTAGCTACCCAGTTTTCCAGATGAGGAAACTAAGGCTCAGAGAGAGGAAGTGACTTTGGTCACACTAAGCTATAAAGGATCAGAGCTAGGATGAGCAAGTGCTGGGCAATACCAGAGAAAGGAAACACAAATGACAGGGAACCAAGAAAGGGTTCATGCAGGTGACTTTTGAGCTAGGCTTTGAAGGAGAGTCAGCTTTCAAAAAGTCAAGAATTAATAGGACAGCCACTAGGTGGAGCAGCGGAGAGAGCACCGGCCCTGGAGTCTGGAGGACCTGAGTTCAAATTCGACCTCAGACACATAAAGCTCACTAGCGGTGTGACCCTAGGCAAGTCACTTAACCCCAATTGCCACACCAAAAAAAAAAAAAGAATTATTAGGAGGGAGGGAAATACAGTTAGTAGTCATTATTGTGAATGTGAATGGGATGAACTCACCTATAAGACAGAACGGCACAATGGATTAGAAATCAAAGTGACCCAAGTAGGCACAACCCCCAGAAACTCTTTCCTCCTGATTGGGGGATGGGGGGAAGGGAGGGACTGGGAGAGGGCAGAATTCACGGGGGTGCTTTTGGTTTCCGGCTCAGTGGAAGACCTGGAACGGAACGACGGCTCCCTGGCCAAGCCCTACTACATGTCCAAGAACCTCATGAAGATTCTGGGGAAGAAGAACGAGCGCCCCTCCGGGGAAAAGAGGAAAAAGGCGAAATAACCAGACCCGGCCTAGGAAGCTTCTCACCCGGATCTCAGTCCCCGTTGCCCGGCCCTCCCCCCGCCCCTTCCCAATTCCCCGGGTTTCCAGATGGAGATTTTATAATCCGCAGATTTTATTAAAAATCGATTTTTCCCCCGCCACAAACTCAGCCCGTCTCATTCTCTCCCAGCCTCCTGCCGCTTTAAATTGGTCCCCTAGGTTCCTCAATGGCCAGGCTCTGAGACCAATCAGAAGGCTCGGGGTGCTTTTCCCTATTCGCTTCGGCCAATGAGCTCTCGTTCCTCCAGTGACTCCCATGGGACCGACCGGGCTAATCGGAAACCCTGTTACCTAAAGCTAGCCAGTGAGTCAATAGTAGGGAGGGAGAGAGGCAGGAGGTGGGAGCTTTCTGTCCAATCGGAGGGGCCGCGGTACCGTCCCTCACAGGGGAAGGGAAGCGCCCATATCTGCGCGCAAGGCGCTGCCCAATCCGGACGGATCGGGCGGGTTTTTTTTTTAAAGGGCAAAGGAGCGGGATCACCTGACTTGGTTCTCTAGCCTCTGCTCCCCTGCCGCGCTGTCAGTGTCTGGGGCTGGGAGCCGTTGCCATGGAGGAGGAGAAGGGACTAGCGCCTCGGGAAACTCGGTCGCCGGGGTCGTGCCGAGTCCGCGGAGTCTGGCTTTCCCTGGTGAGCCTTCTGCTGCTGCCGCAGCTCCAAGGGTGGCGGGTGCCCGATGACTTCAGCCTGGTAAGTGCTCCGTCCTTCCTCCGTCTCCCGGGCCCGGGGACCGAGGCTTCCAAGCCCTCGCTCCAGCATCGCAGCCTTCCGTGTCAGCTTCCCTCCGGGACGGGGCCCCCGACCCAGACTTCCCAGCCTCCTCTTTTGTCGCCCCGAGGAATTCATGGGCACCTCATCCCCGTCTTCTCCAGACCCCTACTCCCGTTCTGCCTGCGCCGCGCCCGTCCGCCTCACCTCCCGGGACACCTGCCAGACATCTCAGCCCCTCCTCCCTCGGGGGACCCAGGTGTCCGAGATGCTCACTCCACTAATGCCCCCTCCAACGTGAATTCCCACCCCCAAACACACACACACATTGGGGATCCAGGCATCAAACACTTCTCCCCCCCAGCCTTTACATAAACACCATGCAAAGACTTCGCAGATGACCAAGGTATCTAATTAAGATCATGTATGTCCCATCTTTGTCCCCCGGGACCCAGGCATCAGAGCCCCACACCTCCACCTTTCCCCAGGTATCTAGGCAACTAAGGCTCCTCATCTTCCTCTCCTGTCCTACTCCCAGGTAAACGTGCCTCTAGCTCCATCCTTAGATACTTGAGCACCCAGATCTCTATCTTTCTGTCCCATTCCAGTCCCAAGGCTACCAAAGCTACTCGTTCTCTATCTCTATCTAAGCACTGGAAGTCTAGGCTTCTGAAGTCCTAACTTCCCAAGAACCTAACTCAGTCCTCCCCTCCCTCCTAGGCCCAGATATCAGAGCCCCCATCTCCATACCCAGATCCCCTGGGGGCACACCGACATCTGCCAAGACACCTGAGCTTCTATCCTCACCCCTATCTCCCACTCTGTCATTCCCTAGAACTCAAAATCTTCTATTCTCAGATTCTCCCAGGAGTCTTCCATCTTTCCCTGCTATCTAGTCATATAAGGTATACCCATTGTCACCAGTGGCTAAAAATAGGATACTGGACTTGGAGTCAGGAAGACTTGGCATTCAAATATGACATCAAACTAGCCCTAACCCTGGCCAAGTCATTGTGCCTTAGTTTCTCATGAGTTTCTTAGTTTCTCCTTTTCTCTGTGCCTTAGTTTCCTCATCCATAAAATTTTGAGGGATAAAATTGAAGGCTTCTAAGGTCCGTTCTAACTTTATATCTATGATCTATGAACCTTGATGATTCTTCCCTAATCAGACCCAGGCATATGACTAAATGCTTACTCCTCTCAGGAACTAGGTATTAGAGACCCCCAGCTCCAGCTCCTACTCTGACCTCCTTCTCCTCCTATTATTGCAGGTACAACCATTGGTGACTTTGGAGCAGCTCCTTTGGGTGAGTGGGAAGCAAACTGGGAATGTGGACACTTTCAGAATACCGCTGATCTCGGCTACTCCCCGAGGGACCCTCCTTGCATTTGCAGAGGCCCGGAAGATGTCATCCTCAGATAGAGGGGCTAAATTCATTGCCATGCGGAGGTCCACAGATGGAGGTGCCTGAATTCTGAGGAAAGGGTGGGGGGTAGGGAAGTAGGATCTGGCCTGGGGACCCAAATGACTGAGTCATTTATTTAACAAACATTTATTAAGTGCCTAATATGTACAAAGCCCTGTGCTAGGCATTAGAGATACATAAATATAGATATATATATAGCATAGCTTTGCTGAGAAGGCGTTTACAGTCTATTGGTGGGAGGTGGGGAATTGAGGGGAGGGAGGTATAAAATCTTTATTCGTATACCTAGGAGACAAGGAGGAATGAGAAGTCCAGGCAAAGTATTATGCTAAATCTGAGATGACATGAGACTCTAGGCAGTAGAGAAGGAAGTGAATAGGATGGGATCTGAGAATCTGATTCCTATGTCTTGATCCTGTGTTTTTATCAGGTGCCACATGGTCCCCCACATCATTTATAGTGGACGATGGGGATGTTGCCGATGGACTGAACCTGGGGGCCATAGTTGGGGATGTTGAAACGGGTACAATGTTCCTTTTCTATTCTCTCTGTGCGCATTATGATGGGTGTTCTGTGGCTTCCACCATGCTGGTGTGGAGCAAGGATGATGGCATCACTTGGAGCCCACCCAGAAACCTCTCCTTGGATATTGGAACTGAAATGTTTGCTCCAGGACCAGGCTCTGGCATTCAGGTCATTGGGGTGAGGTAGGGTGGGAAGGGGAACTTCTTGAAATGAACATTTATTATATAAATGTGAACTATTATGGGCCTCTTTATCAGGTGGTGAGCTCCCTATCTTCCACTGGGTATCTTCAAAGAGTCTGGGTAACTACTTGTCAGGGATAGGTTGTAGAGAAGATTCCTGTTCAATTATGGTTTAGACCAAATGACTCTTGAGGTCTCTTTCAATGCAACAATTCTATGAGTATTATTATTATGGTAATAGAGTTGGGACTTGTGCTCTTAAAAGACAAGATTAACCTACCCAAGGATGACCTAGAAGAGAAAAGTTGTAGTAGAGTTGGGACTCACCATTTTGAATGAAATTTCCTAGAAGGAATTTTTATATCAGGAATCTGATTTAGGATCACAGCTTTAGAGCTGGAAGAGCTGACTTTAAAAGTCATCTAGTCTTCCTAGAAAAACCTTTCTTACCAGAGAGAATGGGATTTTTTCAATGAACTTCTCATTTGGAAGATGGGCAAATTTCTTGTCACAGAATTTTGTTCCAAGGAGAAGCTTCTTATTTAGGAGAAAGGGCCTTTTGAGATATTGGAACATAGCCTCCTTAGCAAGACCTGTTGAGGTTATAGGCTGGGACTGGAGGAAAACTGGAAGGAGCTTCAGAGAATATGAGAGAGACTTCCTCTGATTGATCTTATGTAACTGAGGATGCCTCCTTCCTGTCTTGGAGTCCCTGGTTTAGAAGTTCCCATGTATCTCACTCCATGACATTCTGTTTTCCCAACAGAAGCAGCATAAGCCATGTAAGGGCCGGCTCATTGTCTGTGGCCATGGAACCCTGGAGCGTGATGGGGTCTCCTGCCTCATTAGTGATGACAAAGGAGCATCCTGGCGCTATGGCGGTAGTATCAGTGGGATTCCTTATGGAGAACTTAAGAAGCCAAATGACTTCAGTCCTGATGAGTGCCAGGTTAGAAAGTACAAAACTCCTTACTTCTTACCCATTCCCTAAGCATCACCTCCACACACACCCTTCTTTTTTTTTTATTAATTTATTTTGATTTATCAACAATCACTTCCACAGGCTTTTTAGTTTTAAATTTTTCTCTTCACCCCCCCCATGACGGTTCACAGTCTGATATAGGCTATACATATACATTCCTATTAAACATATTTT